TGTGTGTGTGTGTGTGTGTGTGTGTGTGTGTGTGTGTGTGTGTGTGTGTGTGTGTGTGTGTGTGTGTGTGTTTTAATTTCCCATAGATTTTGTCCGTCATCTAAAAATCAAAAAATGTGTAAAAAGAAAAAAGAGAAAAAGAGAAAAAAGAAAAAGAAACTAGCTGATAGTTTTCAGCTTGTTGACGATTTTCTTCTCCTTTACGCGTCTGTTTTGAAACCATATCGTGACCTGTCGCTCGGACAGGTTGGTCTGAGCGGATATCCTCCTCCTTTTGTCCTTTGTGATAAATTTATTGGCGGCGTACTCGCGCTCGAGTTCCTTCAGTTGCACCTTGGTGTATGGCACGCGCTTCTTTCTTCCACGTCGATAAGACCCGGAGTCTCCCCCGGCGTGAGACACTGCGTCTGAGAAGGAAAAAAAAGACAGAGAGAGAGAGAGAGAGACAAAAGAACATGTGATAATCTGCCTCTAAACTTACTCTCAGAATAAAATTTCCCTCCCACGAAAAATAAATAAATAAAGAAAATGTAAATAGTTGAGTGACACACTTTCAACCTTTTTTTTTTAAATAAAATAAAAATATTTCATGATGTTTGAGGTTATTGATGAAAATGAGAAATCCTCAAACCAACTGGACAGGCTTGACTCTTTAATGATAAGTGATTGATAAAACAATAGAAAAATGTATTTGTGTAATTTCCTCAAAGGAAAACGCAACTTAGCGCATTTTAAAGGGTCCTCATATTAATCTAGTCGTTTTAACGCCCTTTGCTGTATTGTCGCTTACATTTGTTTTGTCATACATTTGAGATGTTCTTCACAGTGAGGGAGATTTTATCAACACGCCATGTACTACTGCACCATACATACTGGATTTGCTGTGTGTACTATCGGACTTAAATTGTCAAAAAGCTGCTTCCTGTAAAGGATGGATTCTGTGTAAGGCACATGCCTACCTGGTATGGAGGATTTCCACATGTGTCCGGGCTGAGGCTGCTCCTTGGCGCAGTAGACCTGGCTGTTCCAGCCGTTGGAAGCGAGAGTCCACGGTTGGTAGCTCTCCATAGGCAGAAGAGACTCGTGTCTGGCCTCTGAAGACGCGCTGATAGTTGGCACTACTGGGACGTCCAGGTAACTGGGGACAGGTTGGTACGGGCCAGAGGGATACGTTGGATAAAAAGCAAATTCCTTTGCCCGGGAGGCGAAATCGTCGCCTGAGGCGGACGTGTCCATGTATTTCTCCCCATACGCGGAGGGGGGCTGCGCTCCACACGACTTTATGCTGCTGTGATGCGACATTCTGCACGGGTAACCGAAGTACCCGTACGGCAGGGACGCGCTGGACGAATTCTGAGCTGCAGAGCAGGGGCTGCACTGTTTCACAGGCTCGCCCATCCCGGAGGTATGCACGTCGCTGGACGAGTACGCCGTGCTTGGTGCCAGGGATGCGGGGTGCGCCATCAGATTCCTGCACTGGTTCGCAGCAAAGTTGCCACCAGCAAAACCCTCCATGTTCTTGCTCACTTCATCGGAACCGCCGCCGTTGTCGTAGAGGAACATCACCGACGGGTCGACCCAGCGAGGACGGAGGAGCAGTGACGTTGTCATAGCACGGCATCCAACATTGAAGCTTATGGCTCTTTTTTAAAAAGCCCTCAGACTGAAAAAAGGGAGATACTGCTTCCCGGAGAGTAAAGCCACTCTGACGCGCACAAGAGCGCAGATGTGGCGCTGTTATTGGTCCAGATGTGGTCACGTGACCGGGCTATGCAAAGAGGACGGTAAACATCAGCAGATAATTAAATGGAGAAAAATGCGGCGAAGGGAAGGTGACTGCACCTATCGAGGGGTTTGACTTTTGTCATATTTGATTTAACCAGCATGGATGATGTGCATTAATTTCAAAACAGAACGTAAGGTACAATTTACATGAATCTGTGCTTACGCTCATTTAGGTTTCATGCATCCAAATGATAGAATTTCGTCATTTTGAGAGGAGAAATGCTTATTTTCACATATAATATGCAAACAAGAGTCGATTATTTAAAGGTATGCAACAATTTTTTTTTAAAAAGAAAGAAAACCGTTGTGACCCAGGCAGTTACATATGACTCATATGCAACGCTTTTAGCCTTTACGCATGCATACTGACCTGCCTTTGTTTGCCTCGCTGTACAAATTCTAATATTATAACACTCTTTACAACAGAACCTTCTTAGTGTAAAAATAAAGTCTGATATATCTGTGCATTGCACCGATATACACGGAATTAAACAGGGTACTTCTGTCTCCCGCTGATACGCCTCTGTTTGCGCTTTATCCGATAGGACGTGTAAGATGAAAAAAAAAGTTTGATCCTAGTAACTTGGAGGTATTGAAATAACACATATATAATATATATAAACACGTATAATGAGGCGCATGCGTGTAGTTCTGAAAAGGAGACAGGGTTCACTTGTGTATTTCGATAGCAGTTTTAAAAAAGAGAAAAGAGGACATGAGAGATAATCTCGTGTTGTGGGGGATTATTTTATACACTTGACTTCAGACATGTTTACAGTATGCAAAATCAGAAATCAGAAAAGCTCTCGACATGGTGTGCGTGCGTGTTTTTGCATAGGACGTAAACGCGGTTGGAGGCCAAGGTCAAGTTGAATGTTGCTGTCTAGCCATCCAGTCCCTCGGCCTATTCAGGCTTTGAAGAGACCGTCTGAGCTCTTGAAAAGAGCGGAAGAGGGGTGAGAATTCCTGTCCCAATGAACGCTATTGGAGGACATTAACTTTTACTGTCATTTTGTTATCTCCCCTGTTTACTCTTGCGAACTAGTT